GGGGGGGGGGGGGGGGGAAGGGGGCTTTCAATGACACCGGTGCTTGTGTAGCACTATAAGAATAAATAGACCCAACAAGCTGAACAGTTACTTGACAGCACATTTGGACAAGTGTGTACAGCGCAGTCAGGATGGAACAAAAAGCCGTTCCTTGAAACCCATAAGGTGTTTCTCCACTGGATGGAAATGCTCCTCAGCCTCAAAGGCCTTCTCCTGTCAGCCAGAACCCCCACCCCTACTATGAGCTACCTTCAGAGCTGCAGCAATGAAGCCATCCCCAATGCAGTTGCAGGCTCCTCCACCCAAGCCTCTGTCAGACTAAAGAGCAAGGCACAGAAGCAAGGGCAGCCTTTTAAGAAGAGGCTATAAGGGCGTACATAATCAGGACCATAGGGTGGTGCTCCCTTGCAGGGGTCTGAACAAGACAGGGAACCTCCCCAGCAAGCAGCAGGGGAAAGAGAGAGATGTCCCCCTGCTGTACTACCTGGGCGATGAATCTTCAGAGGAGACAGGAATGGCTGCCCCATCAAGCAGCTCACATATATGCATTTGAGGCAGGTGGGAGTAGGGGGCAGAGTTTCATGGTGCTGACAACTCCAGGTAGAACAGCTACATGGGCAAACTGGCAATCAGGAGAGGACTGCACACATCAGCAGGTTGAAGTTCCCATACTCAGGGCTCCAAGACAAGCAAACCAGTCTAAGAAGCAGAGAGGACAACTGGGATGGGCCTCAGGGGGGTAGGGGGAGGCAGCAGCAACCCTGCAAATGGAAGCAAGAAGAGAGTCAGGGAGTCTCCCAGTATAGGAGCCATAGTCCCAGCTATCCTGCCCTAACACCTCCCCAGTCCAGCCTCACCCAGCCTACTTCTGAATCTGTACGAAGAGGAACCCAGTGCAAGGGGCACAGTATCCCAGCCCAGCTCTCCACCTCCCACAGGGCCTATACCCAAAGCCCATTCCCAAAGCAGCAGAAGTCCCATCCAACTTTGCTATTTGGAGCTCTGTCCTCCAGAACAAACACCTCAGTAGCCTCAGGGGATAGAGGCTACTTCAAGGCACCCCATTCCCTCTAGTGCAACCCCTGGTAGCTATACACATCCTGACCCATCAAGTATGCTTCTGTCCACACCCTACCCTGCACTCCTGACAACTGCTTCTAGGGAAGTTCACATCCCTCCCCAGACCCAGTGTTGCATGGGAGAAGACAGCCTGGGGCTCGACCAACTGTGCTCTGCTCCAGTTGTTCTCTCCTAGTGCTGGAGCTCCCTCACCCACTTGCGTTTCCCTAGATGTGCCCTCCCACACAGTGGAGCTACCACAGCTGTTGAAGCAATCCCATATGGTTCCTCCATTTCCCCTCCAAGTCTGCATTGTGAGGCTCTTGCTACCTGTGTTAGAAAGGCATGGGGCCCTTGTGGGAGAGACGAGGTCTTGGCCGCCGGTACTTTCGCCAGCCATTCTGCCGGTGTCCTGCTCCATTCCGTGCCCCTCTGGGATACACCAGGTTACGGATGTTCCCCTCTTCAGGATCCTTTCCATCTGGTGCCTCAGCCAGGGGCCCTGGGAACAGGAGGCAGTGTGTTAGCCTGGGACACCTCAGTCTGCACAGGGCAGGTCCTCATGACCCCCATAAGCAAAGCCTGGGGTTTTCTACAGGGAGAGCTGGAAGGGGCCAGTCTGGTCCCCCTCAGAACTAGCGGAGTATCATTGCTCTTCAGGCCAGCTCCCCTAGCCACTGCAGAGGGTCTCTCCTCTGGAAAAGGACTCCACTCCAGGAAGCTCAGCCCTCCTGCCCAGGGTGGGGAGTGTATCTACAGTCCCTCAGAGGTCAGCTTACTTCCTTCTTCCTGAGGATGCATCTTGCAACCACACTAGGTAGATATTTTTGGATATCCCCACTGTCAACTCCAAACTGTGTTACGCTGTTTAACCCCATCAGTGCCACACATTCCCCTCTCCCCCTAATCACTATCTGCACACACATCTTCCCACAATGAAGCAGAGCAGCATCATTTCCTATTTATTTTTCCAACTCCCTGCCTCACACTGTCAAGCATACAGGAATGGGACCTGCTGTTTCCTCTCTTCTTCTCATGCTGATTTCCTTGACAGGGCCAGGAGAATGGATGTGTATGGGAAAAGCAAAGGAGTCTCAAGCATCAGCAACCACCTGCTGCCTGAGAAAAGGTGAACAGAGTGGTGATGGGTGTGGGCCCATACCGTACAGCCAGTTTCCTGCACTAGCCACAGCAGGAGCCAATTGGCACTGCAGAGCTTTCTGAAGTAATCCACCCAGGTCACCTGCAGCTTCTGGCACAGTGTCCACAGAGACAATTCATGGCAGAAGTCACTGATCCCAATGTCCCTGGAGTGGACAGAGAAGCAGTGTGCCAAAGCTCCTGTGCTCTGGAGGCCATTCCTCTACCCAGCCCGCAGCTGTCCCTACCTAAGCCAGTAGCTATAACCATCTTGTGCCAGGCAGCCCAGCTACCAAATCCTCTCCTAAGAACTACCCTCTGCACTTTGAGGCAGACAGCTCAAGAACCTAGCATCTCTCACCTCATACAGGACCACCCCTACCTCTGCTCTCACCACTACTCACCTACATGCTGCCTTCCCCTCTTACTCCCCACCTGTCACACACCTCCTTGCCCTGCACAGACCTCACCCCACATGTGCAGGGAATGGGAATGTCTACCACACTATGAAGCCTCAGGAGTTCTTGGGGTGGAGCCAACATTTATACCCATTACAGCAAATGCTGTAGCACTGGATTCAGCTTGGATCCTTTCCCCCATTCACCACCTATACTTCTGCTCCATTCCATTATGCTGAAAAGCTATCATTAAATTCAGAAATGCCCATAATTCCAATGAAGTCTCTTCCCTACAGATTCCATGCTGCCCCAGATCCCCTACAGAAGTCACAAAGCTATAATTAGCCAGGGGTCCTAGGCTGGGATACATACAGAACACATGTGGGTGGAACATACAGAAAAAGGACTAGAGCAAACTCCATGTACCCTGGGAATCTTGGGTAGGATCACAACACTGCCCTCACCTTCACATCCTCAGCATGGACCTGGTGCAAGGGGAAGGCTGCCTATGCTGCCCTGCTGTGCTAAGACGGCCTCTGGCCATTGCTGTCACACCAAGGCATCCATCAGCAGAAAGGGGGACATGGAACTAGGGCTCCTCCTAGAGATGGGTCTGTGCTGCCATGGATCTGCAAGTGAAGCAGAGAGGCCCCGGGTCCCAGCCCCCATACAGCTCCACAGCCCGTGTGCTCAGAGGCTGGGGAGCACACCGGCTCCCAGTGGCAGAGACAGCACTCTGCCCTCTTTCATGTGCTGTTGTTTTGCTCTTCTCTCCAGACTGTTGTGCTGACAGGATGAGGTTTGTTATCACCATGAAAAGCGCTTTGTCTGTGCTGCGCAAGGGGGGGGGGGGCATCAAATTCCTGTCAACAAGGCACCATCGGAGAGGTGATTAACCCCCATGCTCCCCAGGTCAGCTCTGCATAGTCCTTGCCCCACACGAGCTGCTATGGCCACCGGAGGGGGCCAGGACACTGCTTACACCTCAGCAGCCAGGTACAGCCCCTGCCCTACTCATCTATCCCAGAGAAGCTCTCGAGTCAGCTTCTCATGGCTCTGCTAGAAGCATCAGACACACGGCACCAGTTCTACATCCACTCTGCTGCTGGGATCCTCTAGCATTCAGAGGCAGCTAAGGAAGGCTACTTTGGGGTATGTCATAATTTACCATCCACCCCCCTCCCCAGCCTTAACCCTACTTTCTCCTTTATGGCTGGATGGTTTGGGGGGGGGGGGGGGGGGGGGGGGG